GCAGTGTTTTAACATCTTTTGATACTTTGAAACCATTTGACAATATCATGATAAAAGAAAAGAGAGAAAGAACACAGTCTCAAAGATAGACACATTAAATAGATAGATAGAAAGAAATTGAAAGGAAAAGATACAGAAAAAGAAAAAGTAAAGAGAGACTATAACAAAACAAATTCTTAAAAGAGAGTGTATAGCTGTTTTAACAGACTATATCTGATTGATTTCCTCCTCTTCATATTCAGATAATTCTGAATTTAGTCATTTTCTTGTAGCTGCTTGAGTTTCTGATAGAAAGTCTATTAAGTATTTAATTCCTGTCTCAGTTGAAAATAAGAATCTCATATTTAATTGATTTAGATCATACTTCTCTTTCAATCTGGCTCTGAGACTATTGTATAATGCACAGTGCATTATAATATGCTCAGGATTCTCATTTGTATTGCAGAATGAGCATTCTATTGAGTCAAATCTATCATCAAATCTTTGTATATAAGATTTGAAATAGCCATGTCCTAGTTTCAGCTGTATTATAGATGAGAATATTTTCTTTTTACATTTAATTGAACAAGATTTCCACTTGGGTTTTGTTTCAAATCTTGAATAATGTATACTCTTCTTTTGTTTCTGCCAGCTTTCATTCCACTTGTCTAAACAAGATTCTTTTATTTTTCTCTTTATAAAAGACCAGGACACAATTTTTTGAATAGATCTGCTTAATTCTGCACCCTTTTTTGCAGCTGAATCAGCCAATTCATTGCCATGAATATCCTGTCTCAGTGCTCTTACAGTAGTATAAACAGTAGAGCTGATCTCAGTTATCTCTGCTTACATCTGAATACAATCACACACTGAAGATTATATTACAGAGCTGCTGCTGCAGATAATCTATGATAATCTTTCTAAAAATCTTAAATCACTCATATCTCTGATAGATTATAATAACCTTGAAAATTGAGTTATAGAGAATGATCTACTCTTTTACAAAGACAGAATCTTTGTTTCAGATTATATACTCACTTAAATTCTCATTCTACAGAACTTTTATAACTCTCTTATCACAGAATACTTCAGATCTCACTGAATCTATATATTAATAAACTGTTAGTTCTGATGATCTATCATACAGTACAATGTGAATAACTATGTACACAGCTGTAAAGTATACAGATAATTCAAGTCTATTACTCACTGAGTATACAGAGAGCTTACATTCATTCTCATCTCAGACATCAATTAATATACAATCACTCTTAACTTTGTAGTAGATCTATTTAAGTTCATCTGCTCAGTTATAGATATCACATTTAACACAGTTCTGATAATTATATATAAAAGATTTAAACACTCTTATTACATTTCTATTACAGCAGATCTTCTTTCAGAGATATTTATACAGTTATTTATTAATAATATTATTCATCTTCATGAAATGTCAGTAGTCTTAATCTCAGATCATGATCATCTTTTCATCTCAGAATTTTAACACTCTCTTATCAATCTTCTTAATACTAATCATCATCTCTTCACTGTCTATCATGCACAGACTGATGATCAGATAGAAAGATAAAACTGTGAACTGAAAGTATATCTATATCTATACATCATCTACTTACAGAATAACTGAGTAAATCTTCTCATCTTAGCTGAATTTACTTACAGTAATTCAGTATATTCTATTCATAATCTCATCTCATTCTTCATGAATCTAGAATATCATTTCACATCTCTTATCATATCTAACTTCTCTCTCTCAGAATCAGATAACACTGCTGTAAAACACTGCACAGTTCTCATCAAAGATACTTAGTAAGAGGCTTATAATTATCTTCTTCACTCTCAGAATCTCATGCAGTATTATATTTATAACAAGCTCTATAAGTTTCAGATAGATAATCTTGTTTTTCTTAATATAAAGAATATAAAAATACACTGTCTCAACTGTAAGCTAGATTATAAGTTTCTTGAATTCTTCACTATACATACTCATGTCAGTACACAGACATATCAACTCAATCTATCATCTTTCTATCATATATATAATGTATTTTATATCTCACTTCTGAAATCACACTGCTTATTCATTCTCAATAATCAGTATATTTTCTCAGAGACTCTACATTCTGATCTGAATAATAATAATAATATTCAAGAGATACTCAACATCAAACTCATCTGAGAGAACTGAATTAAATATCTAGTATATTAAGTGAGTTACAGCTCTTAATTTAATAAATAAGTAGATCATGACTATTTCTCTAATACTCAGTCATATCTTGATATCTTCTACACTCACTACTCAATGAGGTCTTAACAACTGTCAGTAATAAACTCAGTATCAGATATCTCATAAGCAGACTCTATACATACTGACATACTTGACTCTTTTCAGATATAGTATTACAGTATTAACTGCTATCAGAAGAATAATCTATAATAAGTCTCTTCATTTCTCATAGAGTAGAACATATCCTGTTAAGAAGTAGAGCAGAGTGTGTTCTGCTAAAGTAGAGCAGAGTACATCTCACTATAAGTTTCAAAAGTAGGATCAAGAGCACTCACTACTTCATATAAACTCTAGAACAGAGTGTATTTCACTAGAATCTCAGAACAGAGCAGAGTATATCTCACTAATTTCACTCTTTAAGCTTTTCTTTTTTTATCACTGTATACTCTAATTATCTAATTATCTGTATATCTTACTATCTATATCACATGTATAATATAATAACCTCACCACTCTGGGGGAGGGATGAGGGAGGTGAGAAGGCAGAGTGTAAGGCCTAGGGCTTAGGGCATGCTTACATACACATCATGTGACCCACAGAAGCCGCAGCATCTTATACTCATTTCCTGCTTCTCTACTATCTAGTTCCCTTCTTCAAGAATCAGTAATATTACATCCTAATATGAAGCTGCTGCCACCCCGATATCCATGTAACCAAGTCCTAACACCTGCGTCCATAATTATTTATTCGGTTTTTCGAAAAGCTTCCTTCGGCCAAGCGAGGTTGTGCGCAGGATGGGATGGGGCTTTCGAATGCATCATGAGAAAACTTCCATTCCTTACTGCGTATAAATATATCCTTTACTTACGATAGCAGCATTTTCCGTGCCTGTGCCTCTGCCGTCAGCCAACGTCCCGTATGTATGTATATCTTAAACCTCAAGTCCTGGGTCATATGTCATATGTACAGTACGTACATGTATGTACAGGACATCTACCTATCCAAAGCAAGGTGCCAAACGAGCTTCTGACGGGAACAAAGGGAAGATCGACGAAATACTCTGTAGATCATACACAAACAAAGCCCGCGGGGTAAAACGTCCAAAGAAACGATAAGATCTGAAAGCAGTGAAGCGCTGAATCTAATTTCAGACATGCCGATGCGTACTCTGTACTCCGTACTCCGTACAGTTAGTTGTTTTATCTGCAGCTTAGCTTTCCTGAATGGGTGGTTACCACAAGAATAATAATTATTAATGGCTTCTAGGCGTCAGTTGGCTTTATGTGTGAAGAGTAGAGTAGAGTTGGTAACACCCTTCTGAGTAGTCTGTATGACCATTTTAGACACCCGTTGGAGTTGGACCTCCTCATGCTCCCAAACGAGAAAGCAATTCGAGACCGACAAGAATGAGAAGAGGAGAAATCAAATATTCCTCCTCAGAACACGCTTTGTGTAGAATTGGTAGCAGATCGCAGGGAAGGATACCTTTGATGCTTCTATATACGGCAAATATCTATTTGAGGTATCAATAGGTAAAATCGTAAAAGAAGAAAAATAATGAATCAGGGGAATACGTGTTGGCTGGCTTGTGAATTTGGTGAAAGTGACATTGTTCATCTTCTGCAATCTCCTTCCCTGAAAAACATTCTCGGGTAATGTTTATGCAGGAATATAGTTACGGACCTACAAGCTATTTCCCCTTCTTCCAAAAAAAAAAAAAAAAAAAAAAAAAAAAAAAAAAAAAAAAAAAAAGCCTGCAAATATGATTGGATAGTATATATGTTCATTTGGTACTTAATTATATGTATTTAAGATAAGGAAATGTGATCAGAAATAAGAAAACAGTGTATAAGAAAGAATACAAGTTGCTCCTTCTAGCCGTGTGCTGCTTATCACCTGCATTTTGTTTCGTTGACAAGAGAACCCCTCCAAAGCAAGAAGACATTTGTAAACGGGAAAGGAAAAGGGGTAAAAGATAAATTCAACGGCGCTTGGGAGTGACGAATCTGGCCACCGGACCGATAACAAAAGACGTAGCATCAACCGAACATGCGTGTAGGCTAATCAGTATCCGTGAAGAATATATATTTACGTAGGTACACATTGAACAAAAGCATTGTTAAATGAGAGATATCGTCAAGGGAAACAACAAGCAGGAAAAAGGATGAGGGGGTTAAGAAGAAAGGAAAAGATGGAAAGTGGATGCTAGGAAAAGTATCAGAACGCCAGATATTCACGGGGCAAAAAGAAAAAGAAAAAAAGAGAGAAAAAAAGAAAGGAAAGAGAGAGAGAAAGGAAAAGAAAACAAAACCAGAAGGCAAGGAAAGAACCGCGGAGAGAAAACCGCCATAAAATAAAGGAGAGGAAATGAAAACCTCCAGAGATTCGGAAGCCCAAGCATGTGGGACTCAGAAGAGATAATGTAAAGAGTAACCTTGAACATTAATAATGGGCAGAAAGAAGAGAACAGGACATGAAAATGAAAATGATGGAAAATTACCTTGAAAATGAAATGAAGATGAAAATGAAAATAAACGCCAGTATTGGGCTATGTATGTATCAACTCTAATTCCCTGAGCGGTGGGGTATCGTAGCCGTGTCGTTAAGATAACAAAAGAAAAAAGAGGCAACAGAAAACGTTACCGTTTCACTTGGGGAAAGATTTATTCACCAGAGATCACTTCAAAAAGGGCAATAGGCTTTCAAAAGAAGGGCAAGATAGCCAAAAAATAGGGTATTGGGTCCTGTGTGGTGGGAGCTCGCGGCGATCTCTTATCACCAAGGGCCGACCTTCAGTGGCATACCACTGCCGTAGGTGCCAGAAAGGAGCTGCTGGCGTATCGATGAAGCATCCCCTCCCTGGCTATTGGATAAATCCTGATTACCCATCCAGCCAAGATTGGAACTAAGAGTGTTGACAGCATCCTGGAGTTTCCCTCCTGCCGTCTGGTTATGTTTTGAGAGTTTCTGATCCCATCCGCCATATTGCAACTGAATGCCGCCACCCCGTTTACCGGCCTCCCGAATAACCAGTATCCATGCTTTAGCCATCTCTTCATAGGCGGCATCCTTTTCTAAATTATGTTGCGGCGTGTCCCATCTGGGCAGTCGATGTATAATTTCGGTGGCGCCGTCAAGGTAGTTTAAGGCTGTCGAGACCTGGGATTCGTTGGGAGGTAAGAAGTGAGGTGTGAAATCACTCAAGGCATCTAGGAGGTTCACAATATGCTGGCGGACACGGTTATATGCGTAATCCGAAGAGGAATTCCCTCCAAGCGGAATAGAGGACTGGAGGGCTGATTGATAGTTGTTTAAAACCTGCAAGGCAGAGCTGACGCTTGGTCGAGGAGCGGTTTGTACAACCTCGCTTGCTAGCTCTGGGTGTCTGTCACACATAGATCGTAAGATGGAGCGAAGAGCGTCGGTATCAAGAGTCTCGAGCAGGCGGGATAAAGCCAACGGACGTCCTGAGATGTTTGGTCTCGATCGTTTTATCTGACGAGGGGCAGGTAAGGTTCTCGGGGAAAATGCTGGAGAGTTTGAAGGAGATGCAGACATTCTAGTGTCATGATCACTTGGGAGGTAATCATCCTCAGCTTTTCTTTTTCGGTTGCCACTAGGATTGGTAGAGGACACTGGCAGGTAACCAGTGGTTAGCATTTTAGATACGACATGTATTGTACTTTTGGAGAGACTAACTAGACCGAGAAGGAGAGAGTCGACAGTGTTCATAGAAGTGTGGAGGAACAGGGGGCGTTGCCAGCAGGCTGTTCATATTGAGCGAAACGGGGCGAGCAAGAGGCAAGACAGGACGCCGGCAAACGAATAGCAAGAGGAGTATTTTTGGACGACGGGATTGTAGGGAGAAAAGAGATCGTATTATGATGGAGAGAGGCCAGGAGAGGCTAGGAGAGGATGAGGATGAGGACGAGGGAGACGGAGACGGAGAGGGGAGAGTTGCAAAGAGGCAGAAGAAGCAGACGAAGTTGGAGAAACGCCGAACGCTGATGAAGGTGAGGAAAAAAGGAAGGGGGAAAAAGGTTCAAGCGCTGCTGGGAGTTTCTGTCAGTTCAGTTGGGAGTGAATGATGAGTGGTGGGGACAAAGGCTTTACTGGGCGGTTTGACGGGTATTTTACAGCTCCAGCCAATCACAGGCCAGCAGAGGCTGCGAGCTGTGCGTTTTATTACGCAGCTTTACAAGGCGAAACAGTCCGTCTTAGGTTGCAACGGGCAACGAAAGTCAGACAACTCACGGGATGATACACGGTTATTACGCCGTTTCAATACCTAGGTACACACCAGCTCTCTTTAAACCCTACGCCCAGCCATGTTATATCCAACCACTCCAACCACTCCTCCCCCTCCCCCTCCCCTTATATATATTTATTAGTAAAATATAAGGATGAAATGGGAAACCTAGAGTGGGCAAAACCAAAAAAAATAGAGACAAAATGGTCGCGATCCGAGCAATACAAAGCCCCCCGTATGAACAAAGCACGGCCTGAACTCCGGACGATGATGTGATGTGATGCTATGTGAGAATTTGTACCTACAGTACCTACGAAGAATATCACATGCAATCGTGACATAAAATATACAAAAAGCAAAAAGAGAAGAAGCGACAAAGATAGCACATATGGAAATAAAGTGCTAGGGAGGGCCGGCTGCAGCTCGTTAGTTCTAGAGGTATAGCGATTGGGCCGCAACGATATCCCGCTTCACCATCTCAAGGGACTTCTCGAACTTCTTCTCTAAGTCTTCGCTGCCCATCACCTTCGCTGCCTGGGCCATCTGTCGCATGCACTCCTCTAGTCGTCGGAATGTGCGGATCAAGCTTCCCTCATAAACATCCGTCATTTTGCTGCGAGAATAAAACAGTTAGCGAGGAAGGAAACAAGAAAAAGAAAAAAAAAAAAATAGTGGTCTGGATGTGAAAGGAGTCCAAAATGGAGGGGAATAAAACTTACCAAATTTCCGCAAATGACTTCCCCTTCGCCCATTCATATATGACCTCCATCAACTCCCATCGGAATCCTTTCACATATTCATCTTCGTTGACTGCGAGCTTGGACTCCTGCGACACTTTGGCAATGATCCTCGCCTGGGCTTGGATATCCCTCAGTGGCTTCGCCAGCTCTTCCTTGGATATAGGTGGTGTCTCTTTGGAACTCTCCTCGAAGACAAACACGCTAAGGACTGCGGCACACTGCTCGGGGGTGAGGTTATTAAAAAACCCATTAAAGAGAAGCTCACTAAGCATAAGCTCGTCGCCGCTGCTGATCTCGCATGCGACACGGGCTTTTAGTTGCACAACCTCTGCCTCGTTGATGAACTGGAAGCGGCGAAGTACCCGTTTGCGACATTTTAGCTCGTCTAATTGGATAATCGACATGGCCTCCGTGATCTTCTTTTTTGTTGCTTTTATTTTTGAGCCCAGTTCAGTTTTTGCCGCGTACTGGTCATATAATTCTGGAAGCCGGGGGGAGTTATGGAGTGGATTGGATATTAGACGTGACTCTAATACTTCAATTTTCTGCTCCGGAAATTAGCATATACGCACAAGAAACCGAAAAAGTAAAGCTGCAGTAGTAGTACGTACCCGAAGGAGTTTCTTGAAGGAGTCATCCCTTATGCCCATGTCCTCAATAGGGTCCAGAAGGGGAACTCCATCAGGGAATCGCCTTTGTATCTCCACAATGTGTTTGTTAGCCTCGTTCCTCGCGCTGATTGGCTTAAGGTCCTGAGGTAACCGAATCCGAATGTGGGAGATTGACTTTAAGCAACCAATTAGCACGGGAACAACTTCCACCTTGAACTTCCCTCCCGGCCGAGAAGGTCCGATCCCAGGGGGCAGAGGATTTTGACCAGCTCTCGTTGGGGAAGATGAGTCCTCTGCGACTTGTAGCAAGACATCGAGAATAAAGCTTTCATGGGGAGGATATTCTTCATTAGGAGCGTTTCGAGGAGGTTTTCGTTTTTGAGAGTTGACAACAGCACCCCAACCAAAGTCGTGGTCCTTATATTGTATTTGAACAAGCCGCCCGGGTTGCATGTAACGTGAACAGTAGTTTGGAAGGCTGATCACAGTACGCATATCCGAGGTGTATGTGGCGATGTTTTGGCGTAGATCATAGTATTCCCGGATCGTCCCTTCGTCGGCAATTACCATCCCGGCATATTCCTTCTCCAATTCGGCCAGTTCTATTGGTGTTAGTAAAAAGGAAAAAACTTTCCTTCAGAAAGCAAGGAAGTTGAACACATACCCCTTTCCAAACCAGATACACTAGCCGCATTTTGGAATTGATAAAAGCATCGCTCCAACATAAACTCAGGTGAGATCCCCTCCACTCGTAGAAGGTTCAATACCATGTTGTAGCCTAGATAAAAGGCCGAATTAAGTTTGTCTTGCTCTCCACGGACAATTTCCTTCGCAACCGTTGGATCCATTTCTTCATTGATCATCATGATGACAATGCCGCGGTCGTCAAGACCCCTACGTCCAGCACGACCCGACATTTGTACAAACTCAGAGGGCGTAATCCAGCGTTGGCTTACACCGTCGAATTTCCGAACACTTGTGAAAACCACGGTCTTGGCAGGCATGTTTAGACCGATGGAAAACGTTTCTGTAGCGAATAGTACCTTAATCAGTCCTTCCTGGAACAGAATTTCGATGGTCTCCTTGAGGATAGGGAGAAGGCCGGAGTGGTGGACCCCGATCCCGAGACGAAGTAGTGGTAGGATGTGTTTAATTTGTGGTAGCTCCTTGTCCTCATCGGAGAGCATCTCGATCGCACTATTGAACACCTTGCTGACCATTTCTTTCTCCGATTCATCGTTAAATGCCATCTTGCTCATCTGTAATGCAAAAGCCTCGCATTCTCTTTTACTGAAACTGAAAACAATGACCGGGTTGTAATTTTTAAGCATAATCATCTTCACGATCTTGTAGATGTCAGATGGACCTTTATTACCGTCTCCGCCTTTATTTGTCTTTTTGTCTTTTCCTTTACCCTTTCGCTTAGCCATTGCGTTTGCTGGATCATCTCCTTGTTTCTCGGCGATCGTCTCCATCGCCTTATGGAAATTCTCCTCACGGAACACTCCTTTTTCATCAACGACAAGGTGTATTCCATCAGCGCCAGCAGGGAAAAAGTAATGTTGTAGGGGGGTTGGTCGGAAATCAGTGTAGACGACGTGGCACGGCTGGTTGTGCATCTTGGTAATCCATTCTGCAAATTGCATCGCGTTCGGAATTGTTGCGGAGAGGAAAACATATCTAACTTTGTCTGGAAGAAGAATAATGGTTTCTTCCCATACGACACCACGAGCTGCAAAGACGTTAGCACAGCGTAGCCCAACGACGAGTTGCTAACGGAAAATAACTCACTCTTGTCTCGCATATAATGTATCTCATCGAAAATCACCCAAGCCACCTCGCGCATGATTTCTGAACCTCTGTATAACATAGATCGCAAAATCTGTTTGTCGGTTAGCGCCTCCTCTGTAAGCCAGATATATATGAGTTTGTAATTACCTCAGTCGTCATGACAAGACATGTGGCCGTAGGATTTATGGTAACATCGCCAGTCATCAATCCAACATCTCCAAACTCAGCAGCAAATTCCCGGTATTTCTGGTTGCTCAGCGCCTTTATGGGGCTTGTATAGATAACCCTCTGATTATTTTTCAGACTTTGCGCAATAGCATATTCTGCAACCACCGTCTTTCCAGCGCTAGTATGGGCGGAGACTAAAACACTCTCACCCCTCTCGATCGACGCGATTGAGACCTGTTGGAAGGGATCTAGAGTGAAGCTCCATGTCCTTGCGGGCGTTTCTGGTGGTTTGTGTTCGGAAATTGGGACATAGGGGTAATCTGGGGGTAGCGCAACCTGATGCCGAACTTGATGCGATAGAACAACAGCCTTGGTATCCTGCGTTCCTTGGAGACCGGCAGAGCCTGCAATCTCTCGCGACTGTTCAGTTTCGAATGTATCGGCTACAACAGGCTCTGGTTCTGGTTGGAGGCGCTGTCGCTTTGGATCGGGTTGGCCATTTTGCGGCTCGGAGGGCTCCGCTGCGTCCACATCTTCCATCGGGGTATCTGTAATCTCTCCATTCTCTTGGCCGCTCACCGCATTCGGGATATCCTTTACGACTCCATTTGCCTGTCTTTTTCTATTTTTGTCTTTCTTCTTTCGGGGTTTCGAAGGGTCTTGAAGAGGAATTCCAGAGGAAGGTTTATCCTCGAATACGTCGAACAAGTCATCCATGGCAGGCAGACGATACTCTGAAATTTCTTTTGGATCCTCAGACTCTATTCAAATAGAAAGTCCTCGGTCCCTGTCTGTAGTTTTGTGAACATGTAGGGAAAAAAAATACTTGGCCGCCGAAACTTTGATTTTCCACGTTCACTGCTCAAATATCACGTGAATGATAAATTTGCTGAGTCATGCACCGACAATTCCTCATCCGGACATCGAACCATCCGTCGAGTTTCTGAAGACTTTCCTGTCCATTCGAGATCATCAAGAAACAATTCAGGTCAATTCTACCCCAGCAAGTCTCTTCAAGGTACGGCCAGATCCGTAATTTCATTCGCCTCCCAATCACCTACTGACAGAGTGTTCAAGATGCTCGCCCAATCCGCAACCCGAGCCAGAATGGCCAGCACCGTTTCCCGCCGCGGCTTCCACACTACCCGGCCTCAGATGGCCAGCCCTTTCCACTACCCAGAGGGCCCTCGCACCAACCTCCCGTTCAATCCTTTAACCAAGCACTTTTTCTGGAGATACTGGGCATTCATGGGTAAATGGAACTCCGTGGGCGTTGTATTTCTTGGGGAGTCTCGTTTCGCTAACAAGTTTCCATAGGTGTGGGTTTCGGCATACCTTTCGGCATTGCTGGTAAGATCATCGCTACGAATTTGTCTTTGCAATGAAATACAGCTCACACAGTGGTTCAATAGCCTGGCAAATCAATAAAACCCAATAAATCTTCCCGGGGTGTATTGTTATTCAGTCTTGTGTGGTAACAAATCTTCTTTGAGGTGGAAATGAGTGAATCATTATTATATTGTACTGTACCAAGCTAGAATTAGTATCAAAACAATCTCCCGTATATAATTCTCATTCTCCAGCTCTATTTTTGCCATGATTTAGGATGCATAAACCGTACGGCATTGTCGCCTGTTGTGTTGAAATTCGTGGGATTAAATACGGGCTTGTTTTCAAGAATTTAAGCCTGTGGATGAAGTCATCGTATGAGAAGTTAGTCCCCTCACCAAAAAGAAAATTTACATATTTTCAAACACCCTACAAACCACATGCGATCCCCACCAACAAACCACTGCTGTATACGAAGAGAATCTACATGGATCATCCTCGAGTTTAAAAATCCAGGTTTTCGAAGGTGTGCGCGGAAAAGGCGCGCAATATAAAATGCGCAACCTGAGAAATATCCACCTGAGGGAGCTCCCGCTTGGGAACGAACTGCCTCTAGCTGCGACGGCCTGGGACCCTGCGACGGATTCTATCATATGCGCTTTTGGTCCAACAGAGACGACCGCTGTCATCGAACTAAAAAGAAGGGCGCAGGACGCGGGGCTCGGCGACCTCGAGTTGATCGCATCCTGGGATGCGCCATGCCCGCTCCCGGACCTGCAACATGACCGGATCATATCATTACAATACTTTGCGGATACCCTCGTTACATGTCTTGTACTGGAAGGTGGCGATATTATAGTTGTGCGCGAAGATCCACAACCAGGCGAAGACAAGATTGAGATCGTGGGTTCGGTTGATGTGGGGATCACGGCGGCGGCATGGGCTTTGGATGAAGGACTACTTGCTGTAACCACCAAGGCCGACACATTGCTCTACATGACAAGGGATTTCGAAAATGTGGCCAATATTACATTTACTAGCGAGGATCTCAAGGCCTCAAGACACGTTTCTGTTGGTTGGGGAAAGAAAGAGACGCAATTCCAAGGCAAGAGAGCCAAGGCTCTGCGGGATCCAACGATGCCGGAGAAGATTGACGAGGGAAAATTGAGCGATCTGGATGATAAAAGAGTTTCTATCAGCTGGCGAGGCGATGGGGCGTTCGTTGCTGTTAATAGCATTCAATCAGATGCCCGACGTGTGATCAGAGTGTACTCGCGAGACGGCGTCTTGGACAGTGTGAGTGAGCCAGTGGATGGGCTGGAGGGTTCGCTAAGCTGGCGACCATCCGGAAATTTAATCGCTGGAATACAACGTATGGAGGACAGAGTGGACGTTGTGTTTTTCGAAAGAAATGGGCTTCGACATGGTGAGTTCACGCTACGCGTGAACAAGGAAGACATGCACACCTGGGCATCAAAAACCAGTTTGGCGTGGAATATCGACTCTACCGTTCTGTCTGTCCAGTTCAAGGATAGAATACAGCTCTGGACAATGGGAAATTATCATTATTATCTGAAGCAGGAGATCCCCATCTCTGTTGAAACGGGGTTCGCTACAGCGCTCCTTTGCTTTCGTTGGCATCAAGAAAAGGCATTACGATTTGTTATTGGATCATCTGGTATGTGTCTATCTACGTCGGCCGAAATGATGCACTAAGCTAATCAGATCCATAGATACTTTATTCGACACTGAATACGTCTTTGATGTAGCGAGAGGTTCCACATTGACTCCGAATGATTGTGGAGCGGTGGCCGTGATTGATGGAAGTAAGTTCAATATGTATTTGAAATGAAATCCGTATAAAACCATTTCTAACTTAGCAATAGCATCGCTAAAATTAACGCCGCTAAAACTTTCCAATGTCCCTCCCCCAATGTCTGCTTGTGATATTCTTCTGGAGTCTAATGCTATTGATGTCGCGTTCAGCAAATCCAGCACCCAGTTTGTCGTGCTAACTATGGCTAGAATTTACTTATACAGCTGGGACATCAAAGTCGTCCCCGTAGCAGATCCTGAACTTACAGCAACCTACCCAATCCTGAATTCATCGTCGAGACCTAGACGGATCACGTTCCTGGAAGAAAAGGAGATCTACGTTTTGAGTCAAAATGGGAATTCCCAGGCAAACGTAGAAAAGACCGACATCGACACGAAGGAAACCACGATCGTTTATCAGTCAATCAATTCAAGCATCCTTTCCTCCATATTCCCAAATCTCCAGCAAAATTCGTTGTGGATATGCCAGGAGGGACTGAGTAGAAAGGCGGGCTCATATATTAAGCTCTCCCCCAATGGAGCCAATGGACTTTTTGCTGAGATTCCACACGAGAGCCCAAGCCAGGAAACCTGCTGGGCATACGCAACTGAGCTTTCAGATGGAGAAGTAGGATTCCTATAAATCAAATTGACTCTTTGAACTCGGCTAACTGTCGTCTAGGAAATTCTATTTTCTCTTTCTAAATCTGGAGCACTTTATGCAAATAAACGACTCCTTGCAAAAAACTGCACTTCCTTCATAATTACTGGGGCTCATCTTATTTTCACTACGACCCAACACTTGCTCAAATTCATTCATATCGCCAAAGTAGATGGTGAGTTTCTATCCTGGAAGTGTCGCTTGATATTATACTTACATAGGGCGTTGACTAGATCTTGACATTCCCGGTGACATCCCCGAAACTGACGAAAGATGCCGAAGTATCGAGCGAGGGGCTCGCCTAGTTTCTGTCATGCCCTCAATATTTGCCGTTACTCTACAGATGCCGCGTGGTAATACGGAGACTATTTATCCACGTGCGCTTGTTCTTGCTGGAATTCGTAGGTATATCGACAACAAAAAGTATCGTGCCGCATATCTTGCATGCAGAAGCCATATGGTGGATATGAATATTCTTCACGATTATTCTCCCTCCCAGTTCATGGCCAACGTGCCGTTGTTCATCGACCAGGTGAAGAAGGTTGAATATATCGACGAATTTCTCTCTCGATTAAGGTAAGGTTACACGTGTCCAATATCTCTCCGGGTGTTATGTTGACTGGCATTTACAGAGACGAGGATGTTTCTGAGACATTATATAAAAATACCCTCAAGATAGCTGTACCTGATGTGGCTGTCTCTGATGAGCTCAATGGTGTGATACCTGGAGATGCTACGAAAACAACTCCAAAGGATAACAAGGTCAACCGAATTTGCGATGCATTCTTATCCGTGCTTAACAGTCGAATCGACACCAACCTCCAAAATCTTGTCACCGCTCATGTGTGCAAATCCCCCCCTGACCTAGATTCTGGGCTTCATCTTGTCGCAAAGCTACGGGGTAAACTGCCCCCCTGTTGTCTCAAATCAAACTATTAAGCTAACATAATTACAGAACAAAGTACGGAGCAAGCAGAGGAAGCTGTTGAACATATGTGTTTCCTCACCGATGCATATAGGCTCTATGACCATGCCCTAGGGTTATATGACCTAGAGCTTACGTTGATGGTTGCGCAGCAAGCTCAGAAAGTAAGGTTTACACCTCGATAGATATCCATGAAGGATAGACGCATTGCTAATTCGTCACAGGATCCTCGAGAGTATCTCCCTTTCCTTCAGAAGCTACAGGCAATGCCAGAGCTTCGCCGTCAGTATGAAATCGACAACCACCTAGGACGAGTGCGAAAAGCAATCAAAACCTTACATGCTCTTCATGCTTATGAGGAGCTCAAACTTTACGCTATCAAACATTCATTATACAACGATGCCTTGGAACTATACAAGTACCAGCCTGAACTGCTTCGGGATATGTCACAGTTATACGCTGACTATCTATACGATCAATCCAATTACAAAGAAGCTGCCATCAGTACGTCTACCTCCTTTTACCTCAAAGAATTACCACCTCCAGGATAAACATAATGAACTAACCAAACCAAAGTCTATGAATCGCTTTCCTTTTATGAACCCGCCTACCAATCCTACCAGCTCGCACACCAATGGCGTGAATGTATTTATTGTGCTAGTCTCGTCCCCCTCCCAGAAACACAAATGAACTCCCTCCTCCACTCCCTCGCCACAACCCTCACAACCGAAACAAAGGACTACATATCCGCTGCCCACATCCACGCTGAACACCTCCAAGACATCCCAACTGCTGCACGATTACTTTGCCGCGGCAATCAATTCGGTGATGCCTGCCGTCTCCTCGTACTTCACGGCAAACAATCCCTCGTCGGCGAAGTCGTTGATTCAGCCCTGGGAGACGCGATGGGCAGCATGATTGATCTGCTCGCCGACTGCAAGGCGCAGCTCAATGCACAGGTACCCAGGATCCAGGAATTGCGCGTCCGCCGTGCCACCGATCCGTTGGGTTTCTATGGCGGTGATCCGGCTGCTGGCTTGGGTGAAGGCGGCATCGATATTCCCGATAATGTCTCGCTAGCGCCTACAGACGCGACCACAATGGCGGGCCGAAGTATGTTCACGCGGTATACGGGGAATACGTCCTCGTCTCGGAAAACGAGCAAGACGAGGCGGCGTGAGGAGCGCAAGCGCGCACGCGGGAAGAAAGGGACTGTCTACGAAGAGGAATATTTGGTGAATAGTGTACGACGGCTTATTGAAAGAGTAAATAGCGCCATTGATGAGGGGGAGGGGCTCATTCAAGCGCTGTTGAGGAGGGGAATGAGGGAACGAGCGGGGTTGGTGCAACATCATTTGGATGAGGTTTTGGGAATGTGCAGGGATTGCTTGGATGATGTGTTTGAAGTACCGAAGGAAATGGGTCTTGGTGTTAACGGTGCTGATGCAGGCAAGAGTGAGGACGGTGGTCTAGGAGGGGAACGGCCACCTGGTGGTGATGGTGTGTTCTGGGATAGCTTGCAACAGACTATTGGTGGGAAGGGGAGGGAGCCACCTGTCGTCAAAGCGTTCAAGAAATTGGCTATTCTGGGTGGATGAGTTGAGTTGCGTGTTCGCTGTGGTTTGATTGATTGTTCTGCTTCAATTTCCACGTTGGAGTGATTCTGTCTGTTTAAAAAGGAAATGGGAAGATATGGAAAAGCAAAACACTCCTAGTTACAAAGATAATGAATTTGGAAGTTGTTCAATGCAATACGATATATTGATGCTATAAAACTCCAATTTCTGAAATTTTCGATGCGCCCGCTTTCATTCTCCGGGATGCAAGGGGTATCATGGCCGAGAAATGGTTTCTATTCCAATGACTCCTGGTTTCTTCCTCTTGGTAGACTGGTATTCGCCTAGTTGGGACTTCCTTTCAAAATTTCCCCAGTTTCGCTGACAAGGTGTTGGTCTGCTTTTAATGGCCCTTCGCCGACACCAGTCAGGATAACGGTATTAATACCATCTCTCAGCTCAGCAACAGCTCTCGGGTCCAAATTCTCCACAAGAATCCCAGACTTTATGTGCTTGACAGCATCACCATACACGCCATCCCAGCCCTTAGTCTCAGGCTTCAAAATCGACCTGAATGTCCCAATGACACGCTCCGATTCGTTATTTAAGTAGTATATAACCGCATTTGGACCGGCATCGAACGTGTAAGCGCAAATAGTCTCGCCAGCGGCACGGTTGATATCATGGACCAGTCTGATGGCAGCACGGGAAACATCATTAAGGTAAAAAGTGGGTGGCCAGGTATCAAGATTGGTGGCATGGAAGTTGTTGCTGTCTTTCATGGTGATTTCAGCAAAGGAAGGGAAATCCCGGTTTTTAATCGCAGTCTCGATCGCGACCATGCGTGCAGGCACCACAGTTTCCGCACGGGTTGCGAAGAGAGTGGAGGTCGCAACTGTCGCTTGCATTCCTAGTGTACTAGGAACATCCTTCTTCACATCGCTCACGACGAGGATAAGGGCGCGCATCTCAGGCCAGTGGCTCGCCGGGGCCACCTCTTCTGCCAGGCTATCGGTTCCGTCCTCCAAGACCCCTGTGCGCCATGCGACATAACCACCCATCATAGAGCGACATGCGGAACCAGACCCCTGGCGTGCAATGCGACTGAGATCGCTAGGTGATTGAGGCAGTTCATAGAGGTTGGCAACAGCGCGAACCAGCGCAGCGAAGCCAGCAGCGGAGCTAGCGAGACCAGCAGCGGTGGGGAAGTTATTCTCTGATACAATCCGGAGAGGGAAAGTTGAGAGTTTGGGTAGAGATGGGTTTGCATTCTCTAGTTCTTGACGGAGACTGCGTAAATCCGACAGACAAGCAAGCGTTCTCTTTGAATCTTTTATGCTATGCGGTTGCGAGTTGAGGGTCAAAGAATCCTCGGCGGGGTAGGTGGGGGAACACGATGCGGTGGTGTATGCACGTAAAGAACTCTGTGATAGGGTCACAGAGAGTGAAGAATTTGTGGGAAGGTTAAGGATAGCATCCCGTTTTCCCCAGTATCTGCAAAGAAATTATCATTAGCAATTGTATACAAAATGAGGGGTAAAGGTGGGAAGTTGGAATTACTTGATAACGGCAATGTTAACAGGAGCCGTGGCGCTTGCGCGGTAAACCTCAGTGGAACCAGCCATCTTTATTCTTCACAGAAGGTTAATTATAATAGCTATGCAGGGAAATGCTTCAGTGGTAGATGGGGCCCTGAGAAGAGAGTTGTGGTGAAAGTGATGGTGTTCTTGGTACTAGCAGAATCCTTACATGGCGGTGAAAATGGAGGGACAGCTTGAGGCTCTGCGGACGACTCCAAACCTTTAAATTTTATCATATCAAATCTCTCTCGCCAAACTTCATCCTAGAACGCTGGACACTGGACACTACAGAGTGCTACCTTGCAGTCTACGAACGGCATTCTGATATATGAGGTGCCAATCTCGGCAACTAGTTTTGCAAACATTTTCTGAAACCAATTCGCCGTTCTCCGCGTGATTTTGTAATCCCGTTGACTGCTACGGCCTTCACCTTTTAACCATGGGGGCCAATGCAAGTACTGCAAATCCTCCACCTCCGCTTACAGCGACTTCTACTCCCTCCACTGGTCCTACCAAAGATGATGGCCCACAAGCTACATGCCCTGTAGACCACAAAACTCGCGCTGTGTGGCTTTCACAACATCAAAACTCCGATTCTCCCCATCCAATGACCCCGACCGACATAGTTACAAAACAAACAGACACCACAAAACCCAAAAAACAACGTAGACCTCTATCCCAGGAGCGGGAAGTAAGCAGCATCCCCCGAGCAATCCCAGATACGTCCACAGCTGCTACGCCTTCCATGTCCGCCGCTCCACCTCCCTCCCCATATGAAGCCCAAGCCTCAACCACAGCCTCACACATCCGCCCTTCAAACGACGAAGCCGAAACAGGCCATGACTCCCGCACGGGCAATTGGATTTATCCATCAGAGCGCCAATTCTTCGAGGCCCTCCTGCGCAAAAATACACCCACATCCGCCACCTCCGCGACGGACCTAGCCACCTCCGTCGCCTCAATCATCCCCATCCACAACGCAGTGAACGAGCGTGCGTGGTCTGAGATCCTAGAATGGGAGTCATCGGCACCACTTTCCGATCCTGGCAGTCGGAAATGTGGAGGCCCGAAATTGTACTCGTTCCGTGGATTGGGTGTCGATAGCCAATTTCTAAGTCCAAGGGCGAGGATCAATGGCTTGTTAGGGTATCAACGGCCTTTCGATAGGCATGATTGGGTTGTGGAGAGATGTGGTGGAGCTAGGGTTGAATATGTGATTGATTTTTATCAGGGAAGAGCTGGCGGGGCGGGATTGGGGACTGCTGCAAATAATGCGAAGTTGAACTTTTATTTGGACGTACGGCCGAAGCTGAATTCTTGGGAAGGATGGAGAATGAGGGCCAGTCGCCTGGTTGGATTGGGCTGACGATATATATGTATTATGTTTTACTCTTTTATCAATAGGAGGGTGGTAGACGTGTCTTTCTTTTGTTGTGGAAGGCTGGTTGTAAGATGCGTGTGTATACAGTAGACTCTTATATATGTATGTACGATAGTAACGTTGGCAATGGGAAGCTAGTCAGGATGGCCGGAAACTCCCCAAAAAATTAAAACAATAAAAATATAAATAAACATCCGAGCCCTCCTTGAAACAGAATGAAGCAGGAAACAATGGATTGACATATTTGGGAATCATAAACGCATATGAGATACTGACGAAGAAAAGGGCCTGTTAACAAAAAATCATACGGACAATATAGCAATAATAAGAACAGTTACAGAAAAGTACAATTCGAAACAGCAACACATGTTCTTTAGTTGTTTAAGCCAACGTAGCAGCCAGGACGATAATGACCAAGACGACAGCCAGAATCAAAAGGAGGCAGCAAGCCTTGTTGCGCGCATTCTTCTGGTACCTACTGGCACTTCTTAGCTCGGTATCAGCAACTCGGGTATCATCTATCGTCCGATCCACATTTTCACTAATGAGATCCAGTTGTCCCCCTTGTTCATGGACTATATGCGCTACATCTCGGAAAAGCTCATTAAGTTCGCCAACACTCTGCTCGATATTCCGTATCTCCGCTTCGCGTTCTATAATCAGGGTCTCTTGGAAGTCGACTTCGGCTTGCGATGCGAGGCGGGGTTGCTGTTCCTGGAGTTGCTGAAGGGTCTGGCCATCGCGCGGTGAAGTTGGAATGACGCCCTCTTCCTCCTGGAGGGCGGTGCGTGCAGCAGTTGCGGAAGCTCGCTGCTTCTCTATTGCACGGCGCTGGGCAATTTGGAACTCTTCTAGGGTGGATCTAAATTCTGAGGAAAGCTTTTGCTGTGTCCATTTTTGGGAGGGCTGTCATAAGGTAAGGTTAATTGTTAGTCCAGGTACTGCGGAGAGATTGAAAGGAGCCTGCCGCTTCAACGCATAAGATCATTGCGAGAAAGGCACAGTTGCTACTAACATTGACATCAACCCATAGTTGAACTTTCTTGATGCCTTCACCAACTTCCCGGAAACCCTCCCGAGTCTCCTCTAATAGATCATGTACCCGCTCACGGACCCGTTCAGTATCACGTTTGGTGCCTAGCAAGGAGATCTGGTTCGACAAGCGCGAGATATTAGAAGTCAAAGTAAACAGACGATTCGACAATGACTCTGTCAACCGCTGAAAATCCGGATCATCTTGATACTGCGAATCGTTGGATCTGGTTGGCTGCGCTTCTAAAGATGAGAGGCGGTCGAAGGACATGGCGGGATTATTCAAGCTTAGCAAAACAAAATTAAAAGTGATGGAAAAGACACAGTGCACAACTTCCACCGCTGAGTGTAGGTCAAGAGAAAACGAGTGATAGAAGCTGTATTCCTAGGGAATGGTGTTGCCGCGATCGCCCGTGTGTTTTGCCGAGTGGTGATGCTGCCTTTGCATCGTCCCGAGCGACGATGATGTCGTTCCAAGCGGGCTGGCGTATCACAGGCGGCTGGGCGATTATGTAATTCTTTTTGGGCCCGGTGGCGCTAAATATAGTATGACGCTAAGTCGTAAACAGATATATATGTGGCTGGTGTATGTTTGACCGCGCATCTGTGGCTTGACTTTGTTTTGCTGTGGGAAAACAGTTCGGGATAGCCTCAAAAAAAAAGTGATTTGCTTTCCTCACCTCGCCTCCCATCGCAAAGGGAGTTAAATAATATATTACCCAGCCTGCCACCAACAAGCTGGCGAATCTACCCAGCTCTCCAGCAATGCACTAAGCTCCTGGACTTATTTCTGGCTGACCACCTCGTTCGGCCATGGCAACCACACCCTCCAGGGCGCCTGCGGCCCGTCCAAGGCAGTACAGGCGGATATTAACCTCGACCCTACATCGAAAATTTGTGCATGCGTCGGCGGTTTCTTTGGTTGCTTGTTATGTTGTGGCTTTCTTTATTGGCGTTAAATCTTCCTGTGAGTTTTCTTTGCTACCTCTCAACTCTGCGTAAGAGAGGGCTAACAGTGAGTTTCCTACTAGTCTTCTGGTCATGGTTTCCATTGGGCGCCTGCGGGTTCCGGACATTACTCCTTTTTATCTCATGCCTTGCTATTTTCATCCTCCGTGTTGGTCAGATGCACGTAGGAGCCCGGACTACAAGTTCTGCTTTCAGCTCAACGAGACAGGCCCTTTTTTCGTTCTCCACTTTCCAAACCTTTGGCTGGTATCTAGTATCTGCATGGTGGTTTAGTGAGGTATATATGTGGTCATCATCAGAAAGCGCAGAGCTCAACTGGGTAAAGCCGGGAAGGTCAGTTCGTTCTCTGTTACTGGAGAAGTCTTTCTATCGGAATGCTGAAAGTTGCTCTCATATCTAGGCCATATGAACGAGCAAAGCTCAATGAGAGACCGATATATCTCCATTGCTTCTACGCCCTTCTTGCCATCACACAATCAATATTTCACCTCTATTTTGACTGGGATAAGATTCACATTCCCGTATCGAAGCGAAGCGCAAATTCCGCAAACCATAGTACGCATGAGCTTGAGCCGCTACCTGTCAGGATCCGGAAGGCCGTACCCCAGGTACTCTACGATGCTGTAATTAGAAGCTCCGTTACAGCTGTTGTAGGGCCATTCATCTATATGCTCTTCCTTAGACGCATCGCCTGGAGCTGGGTCCTTTCATTTGCAAAACTTTTCTGGAATTTCCCCCGCTCCGCTGCCGATCCTCCGGGCTTGATTCCACCATTGCACATCCTGCTAATTCTTCGCGCTGCTACATCAGGCGTGCTACTTGTGACACTTTGGCAGGTGTCCAATCTCTTATTTTCAACGTTTTTGGGCCAGGCACCCTTGAAAAAGGGCCAGCCACTGACGAATGAATCCAAAGACCCGAATGGCAGTCTAATAAACGGGCTGAAGGCGAAAAGGGATGTCGTTCGAACATTCGCTTTCTGGGAACTGTGCTTAATCGGCCAGCAATTTCCGGAGCGCAGGAAAGCAATCTTTGCCGACATCGACCGCAACGGAGGATCAGCATGGACCCAGATTCTCGGCGCGTCGACCAATGTTATTAAGGGAATAACTGCTCGGATAAATGAACACCAAAACCCAACAACACTGCCGGCCGCAGACTCCTCTACAGTATCTGGGAAGACCTCGGATAGTAGCAACATGGATGGACAACCAACCACTATTCACACCCTACCTCGCTTAACCTCCGCTCCAAAGGGAGACAACATCTTCCTCGCCTCGTCCAAACCCACCACCCGCCCCGAACAATTCGAATCAGCTTTCGGCTCCGTAGCTAAATCATACGGCCAATCCCCAAACTGGACGCCAGCCGCCCGCAACCAAGCCCGTAACATCTTTAACCGCGCAACCACCGCCGTCCTCAGCCCGGAGCAAAGGAAACGCATATCCGCCTCAGCCCAGGAGCTCAAACTCCTCACATGCTCTTCCTCCTCTTCATCTAGTTCAGGTAGACCCCGCACACACCCCCTAATCCACCAATTCCTCAGCTCCCTCGCGGGCTTACCATTCCGCCGATCCTACGCACGACGACTCCGCATTATCATCCTCGGCAAGCCATACGCCAGCCTGTCCCCGATCATCGATGCGGTAGAGTCTCTCACCCGCCTCCTCATCGCGAGTATGGCAGAGGATCAGTTCGGGAAAGTGCAGGCGGACATTGCCGCTGTTGTGCGCCTGTTTACGGAGACTGCGATGGCTCTAGAGTCCTTTACTGGCGCTGGTGAGGGGGGGTTGGATGTCCATTGGACGGATGTTGACTTTCCTCCTGCAGATGCGGAAATGGAGATACAGAAGAAGGCGAGGAGGGTGGAGGAGGTGGAGATGATTAAGGAGGCGTTGAAGGGGGGATTGGCGGAGCTTTTGGAGGCATTTAAGTTGTATTTGGATGATGTGGGGATTCGGGGGAAGGAATTGAGGATGGCCCGGGAGGCGGCGGGGTTGGTTTGAGATTGACATTTGCTTTCTTCGTCTTTTACTTTTTTTTTTTTTCCCTCTCTTGTTTATTTATGTGTTTGTAATTCTATTACAAATTTTTTGTTTTTGAAAAACATGAATGATTCCCCAGAAGTTCGGATACCATCCAACATCTTCACAATCCACAAGCATGATGTCGACTGATCGTTTTCCTTGGTCATCTTGGCCGGCTCTCTGCAACCACAATGTTCTTCATCTGCACATCCCCGCATATGTTGTGGTTTTATAATCTGAGAGAGACATCCACATTCAATTAAGGCTTGGCAATTGCTTGCGAGCCCTTAAACAAAGGCTCCTTCACCAGAGAAACCACCGCCCAAGCTTCCAAAAAAGTTCAGGCCATGGACACGCAGCCTGTTACATAGAATCGAATGCTCGACGGAGTTTGGCAACAATGCCATCTTTCTCAGCCTCAGTCAACGCTGCTCAAATAGAGTTACGTGGCACAACACCCCTGGAGCACGCACGCTGCATGGCCAGGAACAGCTGGCCAGAATTGCATACAGGCGCGCAGGAACTTTAAGGAACATGTCATTTATTCAAGACAAATTTCAAGACAAATTAAAGCCTATATATATCCTTCGTCCGCGCCCAAGCTGGTGCCAGACTTGACAGCAACAGCCATATTCTCATCTACCGCTACAAATCTTGGAGCCAAAGTCGAAGCGGGTCCCGTATAACATTAGGGTACGACCCGTGTTTCGGCTGGAGTTGGTGGAGGGGGTACAGGCGGCGATAAGGAGTCGTTCTTGAAAAGGAGAGCAACTGGTTCCCACATCGTGACTGAAGAAGAATCGACGGCCGGGAGAAATTGGGTAACGAGGAAGCTCTCTGCGCCTGTAAGGAGAGGAACATGACATGCTTTAATGTGAACAGATGGAGGAGGTTAAGAGGGTGAAGAAGAAGTGTGGTTGCTTTGTATAAGCAGTGGGTGTTTGCCGGATAGGGGGTTGGAATTAAACTCTGAATATTTAACTAAGAAAGTTAGCTGACCTAAATATAAGAAAACTTCGCTTTTTATTTACTCTTCCTCAGTTTTTTTCACCCCACATATCTACAAATCGTCAATTAGTCCATATTACTCACTATATAAACAGTATAAGAAAATTGTTTTGAACTGGCCTTTTTCTCTCTTTTATATTCCCCCTAGGGGCTTTTGCCCTCCATTTTTCAAACGCCAGGTATAATAACAATAACAGTAGTAAGTAAAAAACTGCATGCCACGCTATGCTATGTTCTGTCACATTTATGCCCTCATCTAGTTAAATTAAAAATTAGTTAGTGAATTGTGAATGGAGAGAAAACAAGAAAGGAAAATTGTTCGACAGACAGCAGAGAGATGGGAAATGATGAAAAGAACCTAAAGGAGAGGAGAGAAATATTAAAACAGATATAGTTGAAGCTAGAAAGTAATACAGGGAAGTGAATGGTTTGGTGAATAGAAAAGAGCAATAATAGAAGAAGGGATAATGCCACCATAGGAAAGAGATGATGATCAGTAGAGATAAACATTGACCAGCCAAGGAGATACAATTTAGCGAATGTGTTGAGGAAAGTGGCTGAAATGTATACTCGATGATAAGCGGTAGATGACGCAACGCGTGCGTGTCCCGATAGCACAAGTACATTAATATGAAAAGTTCAAATCATGAAATATATTTATCGCGGGTTTATTTCCGTTCCGGAATGAAAAATAAAAATTTTGAGAGAAATGCCTCAGGGAAGGCCAAAAAAAAAAAAAAAAAAAAAAAAAAAAAAAAAAAAAAAAAAAAAAAAAAAAAAAAAAAAAAAAAAAAAAAAAAAAAAGGAAAGTAGAAACGAAACAAAGTCCGCAGCTGCCAAAGCGCGGTAAATTCGATCTCTGCGAACCGCCCATCCTTTAACGCCCCGGGTTTTCAATGTCGAGTTTATTTTAGTTTACTTCATATTCTGTACCGCAGTCTCGCGGCCCCATTTTCCGCATCCGTACCTTACCCCGGAACCCAAGCCGAACTGTCTATAATAATCCCGGTAGTGATGAAATGAATGAATCAAGAAAACAAAACGCCGTGGGTTTTATTGGTGTGATGGTCCTTATCCGGAAACGCCCTGCTATCGAATGGAAAAATGGACTCTGTCCATGGAAAAAGGCGAATTGTTCGTAAGATATTAACATCCTCCATACCGCCGGAGATGGGTGATTTGAAGGAAGTAATATAAATCCGTGCATATTTCAGATGGAGTTGATCCTGTGGAGCTCCTCTAAACTTGTATTGAAGTGGCTAGGAGGCGCACTCTCAGCCTTTGGAATTTGATCTTCGTCATGGCTGATTTGCGATATTTCGCGCCTGTCTTTCCCGATGTTGTCGACTGGAATAATTGTTGGAAGCCATTTCCGAGCACCCACTTTCTCAACAAGGTCAGAGAGGGAATTTGGGTCGAACCCCTCAATGTAATTTCGGTCCAGTACACGTGACTTAGGTGTAGAGTGTTTCTGGTATTCCTGGAGGGCAGCCATGAGAGACCACCCTTGAACTCTGCGAAAGCAGGCGATAACGCATCCGGTTCGGTGCTGAGGGAATGAGATTAGAAGGCCGTAATCATTTTTTATTCATTTTTTATTTTTATTCATTTTTATTTTATTTTTATTTATTTTTATTTTTATATTTTTTTTAACAATATTTCTTAGGGGACCGCAGATTGCTTACCTTGCCTTTGTTGCAGTGAATTAACACAGGATGATTCATTGGGTTCAAAATAAGCATTAGCACTTCAATAACAGTCTCGTATGGAGTGAAGACCAGTGGGTTTTTGTTCGCCAAAATCGGGATGACATAGGATTTAATTCCATTTTCTTGGATGAATTCACCATAGTCGTGAGACCACTCTTCATCAACTAGAGTTCTATTCGATAGTAAGCACATGGCCGTTGTTCGCGGCAGAACAATGACTACAAAAAGGAAACTTACATAATGGTCTTAAGATTAAGCCGGGAAATAGAGTCGAGATGCACTGGTAGAGGAAAACTGCTTCTGTATACGCCTTTGACGACTTCAGCGAAGTTTTCTGGTAGTCCAGCTCCATGTGGCGTGGGTGGGCGGCTTGGTCCGCTTTCGAAGCCACTAGCGAGGTATCCATTTTCTCCTGTTACAGAGCATTTTGTGTTAGCAAAAATAACCAACCAACGTATGGTGTTGGCGGCTTATCGAAGTAAGTCTAGCCATAGAATATACCTATCACACAGAAACAAGGTTGTAGTATATTAAAGGAGAAAGAAAATATATCAAAGGAGGGAACGTACCTTGTTTGTCGTCTTTGATAAAGTCAATGGCAGCGGAAGGGGTGAGAAGATCGGACATTTTGGGACAGGAAGATTGAGCTGGCATACCACTCCAAGGGGACTTTGCCATGGGAAATTTGAGGGAGCTAGGGAGGGTTCCGGGGTAACAACAAAGTAGCAAGACGCACGTTTCGTCCTGCTGGGATCTCTCGTGATCACAGGCGGAGTTGAAGACGGGGTAGAATAGGAAATGAATATGGTATAGTTACAACGGCATAACCAGAATCGGGGTGAGCAATTAAGAGCCTAGTCCGAGACTTATGTCGTGTATAGATCTAATGTGAAATAAGATAAAAGTCGAAGCCGCGCCGTCAGGGCCGAAAGCGAGGTACGATGAGTTGAAGAGAAGAAAAACGGAGCCAGGGAAAAGAGCAATATAAAGAGAAATTTTTAAGGAGAAGATGAAGACGGTTGAATAAAGAAAGAATGAGGAAGGAAGCGGATTAGGAGAAAAATGGGGGGGGGGGGGGGGGGGGAAGGATTTCAAATTCATATTACTTCATGAATCATCTTACTAAGAGTTATATATTCAGTCTTATTAAAACTTACAGAGATACAAGATTACTTTACTGAATATTATTAAAGCAGGATATTTACATGCTTAATGATGTAGCTGAATATTGATTTTCTATTTTTATTCAAGAGATCAGCTCAGTTGAAATCTGAGTAGGTGAAGAGTAGATAGAAATTATCAGAGAAATCAGAAAGATTGAAAAGAGTATTAGAAATAAATCTCTCATACAGACTGCATTCATAGAAAATGCTCAGATTCTTATTTTCTTTTTTATAATATATAATATATAATAGAGTCCTTCTATATTGAGATGCAAATTCGTGATCCGTTGATGAGTATGGGACAGCGTAAGTGATATTATAACATGTTGTAACTACAAGATATC